TCGGCGGTCTTCGAGGGCCCTCGGCGGTCTTCGGCGCGAGAGCTGGACGATTGCATGACTTGGCGGCGCGCAGAGGGGGGTAGGGGGAGGAGGGAAGGCTTCTCAGAAGGAGGCTGCTTCTTAGAAGGCGCCGGTCTTACATTTGTAGACAAGGCCCGCGCCTTCTAAGAAGCAGGGGTGCTTCTAAGAAGCCTGCCCCCCTCCCCATACCCCCCTGTGCGCGCCGCCAAATGACCGAACGCCTACGGAAGAGATGAAAGATTCGGGTCGGACGCGAGGGGGGGATGGCAAAAACAGAAACGGGGGGGGACTGGCTGCGTACAGCTGGTCCTACTGTCGCCTCCCGGCGCCAGGAGCGACCGTGTCGAAGAAAGGGGCTGGCGGCATGGCCGAGACAAGCTGCGTGAAACAGATTTCGCACGAAGCCAGGGCGAGGATAAAACCAGCTGAAGAGAGAGAGAGATATATATATATATATACATATATATTCCTCTTCCTAAATTTTTATAAGCCCGGGCGGGGGGGAAACCCGTCCCGCCCCCCCCCCCAAACCGGACTCCCGGGATCTGGGGCTTTGGAACCCTCCGGACGGGCCTCGAAGCGGCCCCCCGGGCCTTGCAGGGCGTTTTGACAAGCCTTCGCAGCACACCTGGGGCGATCAGGGGGGTCATCGGAGACGTCCCAGAGACCCCCAAGACAGCACAAGAGCGCTCCAAGAGTGACCGACGTGACCTCAAGATGGTCCAAGAGGCCTCCAGGACGGCCCCAACGAGGCCTCCAATAGCACTCCCAAGAACGCCCCAAGAGGCAAAACTCATCAGTTTTCTGTTGGTTTTTGGTGAATTTTGGGGTTCTCCTCTTTTCGGCTTCCCGACGCTCCAAGACGGCGGTCTTCTGGGCGTCTGAAGCCGCCCGGGAGGCTCCAAAATCGCCCCACAAACATCCGAAAGGGCTTCCAGGCAGTCCGAGAGAGCCCCAAAACGGCACAACACGGGTCCAAGTTGGCCCTCAGGGAGCCCCATGGCGGCCCAAGATGGCCCCTAGACACCCTCCGAAGCATTCCAAATCGTGACCCGGTCGTTCAGGGAGACCGCGGTTGGAGGCAGGGTGGCCCGAGGAAGCCCCCAGAGGCCCCCAGAATACACCCAGGAGGTCACCTGAAAGCATTAAGAAAGCCTGAAACAACTTTTGTGAGGCCCCCAGAGGCTCTCCAAGGAGGAGCCTCCGCAATAAAGAGCTGAGGAGGATGGGGAGAATGCGCAGGGTATGGCGAAAATGAGGAAAAGAAGCATGGAGGAAGGATAACGAATCACATTATCATAGCGGGGATGCCGGAAAAGGCAACACGGAGTTATCGCTAAATTGTCGGCTTGACCTTCCTGCCATTTCCGCCTGCGTACCACACTTCCAGGACCAAGGTGCATGGCGCGAAGCGCCACTGCAGTCTTGTATATATATATATATATATATATATGTGTATATATATATAAATATGGCGGCTCGGGATGATGTCTCAGGCGCCGCGGTCTTCTCAGAGCGATCCCGAACGCTCTGAAAGCGGCCCTGCACGCTCTGGAGCGGGTGTATCCTCGTCCCAGCCCCGCCCGATTCGGACGCCCCAAATGGGTACCGAAAAAATTGGCACGGTGCCCAACGACAAACGTTGCCCCAAAGCAACAGCGGCCGCTGTGGGGCAGGCGGCCGTCTGCCTCAGATGGACACAGGCCGCGGCGACGCCGACAGCGAGTGCTGTTCAAAATGAGCAGGCGCTGCTGCCGGTCTTTGTACCCATGCTTTCCGTACCCGTTCCGAGCGCCCCGATCCGACAAATGCCTCCGGGATGCAGGTATGAGCGCACGGGCTCGCGAATGGGGCTGTTTCCCGGGAGTGCCCCGACCTCGCCTGGGGCATCTGAGGGCCCGTTCTAGCCCCTCCGGCGACGCACCGTCTGGTGGCGGGCTCGTCACCAGAAGGTCTTGTCGGCTACAGCCGAGCGTGTGGCCAGGGAAAGTCTAACGCAAGAGATCTGGGCCAGCTTCCCGGACGTGTCTTAAAACAAGCCTGGGCCAAGTTCGGTCGTCGACGCTGGATGAGCGAAGGAGCTCAAGAAGCTGGGCTAACTTTCCAGCAAGCTGGTTCAGAAACGTTTGCCCGACTTTTCGGGAGGAGGCTTCTTAATCATATGCTCGAACGCACTTGCAAGAGTGGCCCTAGGCAAGAGTGACCTTTGGTACGTACGCGGCTTTAGGAACGGGGGGCGGGGGGGAAGGGGGAGGCAGACCCAAGCGCGCAAGCCGCTGACATCGCATCGCTCTCAGCGATCGGGGGACATTAGTGGGGCCTGCACCAAGGGTCACTCTAGTCTAGCGTGGGGTCACTCTTACGTGCAGCCGATGTCATTCCCCGTGATTATTGCCGCGACTCGAGGAAGCCTGGCTCCAGCGGCATGTCTGGACGATTAGTGCACCCCTGGAATCGGCGAGGCGCAGCTGCTGGAAAGCACCCCGAAACAGAAAAACGACAGAAAACATTCAGGAACGTCGAACACGCGCAGCCGAGCGCTACTTCCCGCGCCCTGCGCCAGTCACCCGCCAAAGGACGGAACAACCTTGGCCCAACTGACTAGAGCGTGAGGCGGTCAACCCGTCACGATTGGGAACTCGAGCCTCCCAGGGAGCGATACTACGCCACGTGGTGCGCTGCCCGAGCGCCGAGCAGGTTCGCCGCAGCCAATGATGGAAGGGCAGGGTCACGAGACCGGCGCCAATGCAGCGCACCACGTTTGGACTCCTTTCAGGGCCCGCTCCAGCGCGCTACGGTGCACGAGTTCTTCCGAATCTCGGCAGGCCGAACAATGCGAACCATAACGCTCCTGTACGCCGCCGATACCGCCGCCGCCGCCCACGACGGCAGCGCGGGCACGCCCTCGGATCGCGGGAGCGATCAGCGTCGAACCGACCGATCAGGTCGGGTCGGAACGCGCGTCGGGTTGGGCCGCACCTGCAGTGGAGTCGGAACCTACTCGCATCGACCGCGCCGCGAAGCACGGCGGCGCCGTGCGGGAAGCCTCGGGGCACGCATCGGGCCGTCGGAACCTCGAGGCCGCTGCCGATCGGGCCGGCCCACGTCGGCACCACAGCCGCATCGACCGGACCGGCGCGGGCCCTGCACTTCGGCGGGCCAGCGGCCGCGGCGGCGCCGGCCGATGGGGCCCGCCATGGCGAGGCACGGGGCGGTCCTGCCCACCACGCCGTAGCGGTGGCCACGGCGCAGGTCCAGCGTGGCGCTCTTGAGGAGGATGTTGCCGCCGCCGTACATCATCATCAGGTTGTCCACGTGCACCAGGGAGTCCTGCCGCCGGGAGGGGGGCCCAGGCCTTCCCGCGCT